GCCTTAGCTGAGTGCAGAGTGCACTTGGAGTAGAAATTCTTATGTGTTGACTTTATGTGTTTTGATGATAACGAACTCATTGAGATGCATCTAAGTGTGCAACAATTCTTTATTGAGTTTCTTCATGCTACATAAGTATTAAAGCTAGAATGCTACAATTGATGGAGTAGAAATTTTGTTGAAGTGGTTGGTAGTGCTTCAATGATCATCTATAACATCATCATCATCGCTCCAACTAAAGAAGCTCCAAGTATATCAAGCACCAAGGCTAATGAAGAATTGAATGGTGTTAAAACTACTCAAAGATGATTTGCTACAACATCTCACAAGGAGAAGATTACATCAAGTTTTATTTAATTATTTTTTTAAGATCTTGATGTAATCAATTGTATATTGCACTTCATAGGTGTTCAACAAGACCGAACTCAATCAATCTCCTTAGAAACCATAAGCTTTATTGGATTTGATTCCTAGGTTTTATTGATCTTAAACAAAATATAAGAATTAGGAAAACACATGTTGAAAGCTAATGGAAGTGTTTTCAAACCTTTGGACATAATTTTTCAACATTTCTAAGTGATTGGGATGTCTTTTAGGCAAATTGGCCTTGATTGTGAAAAGTAGTTGACTACCCAAAAATATGTGTCAAGTATCTGACAAAGAAAAACCAATTTGAGGAGATCTATCAATTACCTTAGATAGGTTGAGTTCACAACTTACTAGTTACCTAATAAAGAAAAACCAACCGACCAAGAGAGAAAAAAAGATTCCTTCTTTTATATTGTAGTCAACCAACAAATTACACAGTCGACTACTATGAAGAAAATTTTGTCCATTTGAAGTTTCAAACAACTACTACTATTCTTGGAAGTCATTCTATCATGTTGGGGGAAATTTGAATCATTTACAAAGAGATTAAAGTTCCTCCAATGGATAAAAAATGATCACTTGCTCTCAAATCCTCTATAAATAAAAGGAGTTTAGCTTTATTCAAAAAACAAGGGAATAAGAATAAAATTTTTGAATCAAAGCTTGTGAAAAACAACTTGTGCATTCATTTTACATTTTGTAAATAATTATTTTTCAAAGAGAGCAAGCTAGGTTAGAGCCATTTTGAGGAAGACATCCCTAAGCTTCATCATTGTTGGAGGTGAGCTTCTTTGATAAGCCATTGAGCTTATTTTCACCTATCTACTAGGTTCTTCTCTCCTGAGTTGAGCATCTATTGAGAACTTTGGCAACTTAGTTTAGTTTGTGCTTGTATTGTGTATATCTACCTATTGAGAAGCTTCTCTTGCATGTGAGCCTACTCCATTGCTAAAGAAATAAAGATATTTTGAGCAGGTAGGTGTTTAACTTGTTGAACACCATTAAGGTCTTGTTGGTACCTCTATGAAGTTCAACTATAAGGCATTGTAGGCACTCGAAAAACCTATTGATTTGGGTCTTATTGGCACATGTGTAAGTTTAATTGGATCAAGTATTACAAACACCCGTAAAATCTTGCTAGTTGTAAAGTCTTGGCTAGTACTCGGGAAGCCCAATTGATTAGTGAAAATCCTTAGTGGTAGAGCTGTAAATAGATCAAACTCGAATTGAATCAAGCAACATCTGAATTCGAATTGGGTTAGAAAATTTGATATCTAAGTTTGATTTGATATCTAATAGATATTGAAAATCAATGTCCGAATTTGAATTCGATTTGTCCAAATTCGACTAACTAATTATTTTAAGTAATTATAAATAAAATATGTAAATTTCTTTATATAACTTAAATATTGTATATATAAATTATATAAATTATATAAAATATTTAAATATTTTATGTATTATATATAATAATTAAATAATAGGTCAAATTCAGATATTTATCGAATTGAATCAAGTCATATCTGAATTCAATTTGATTACTTAAATAATATGAACAACATATCCAAATTTGATTCAATTATGTTGAACCTTAAATTCAAGCTCAAATTTTTAAGTACCGTTGACACCCCTACTTAGTGGTGGTCTAACGTAGAGGACGTAGGTAGGATTGGCCGAAGCACTATAAAAATCTTGCGTGTCTTATATTTTGTTTCTTTTCTTTCAAGTTTTGCAATTTGCTTTATTTGCTAACATTTTTCTTATAACTGCATTAACTTGAATCCTTGAGATCTTGTAGATTCTTTTTATTTTGTTTTTCTTTGATTTTATTTGTAAGATACAAGATCTCTTAGTGTAGTTATAGAGCTATTAACATTATTGGTTACACTTCAATGTTAGATCTATCCTTTACATTTCAACAAACTACTGTTTTCGTTGTTTATCTTTATTATTCATTTACTATTGATTAACAACATTTACATTTCAGCGGTTAGATCTATCCTCAAGATTTCGGTAGCAATTGATAATTACTTGAATCTCAAGTTGATTATAGGCTTAATAGCTAGTCTCAGTTATATTTGTGTAGTAGACCCTCTTCTTTGCTACAGTTTGTGCATAGTCTTCTCTCTCCAACTGCTTAGACACACACTATCAGGTATAGATTCTATTTACATTTGTGTTGATTTACTTTTAACTACTCCTTTGCATTTCTATAGTTATTTTCATTGTTATTATTCTATCATTAACTATAGGACCACTAACTAGATAACAAGCTATAGTTCTTAATTGCTTAATTTATTTATCAGTTACTGTCAACTTGTTAGAAGTCTTTGTTATTATTGTTCTTAATTATTCCATGCTAACCCCTCCAACTCCTATTACTTTTTTTATTCGTTATTATTAGTGAAGATTACCAATTCAATAGTTAAGTTAACCAAAGAGCTACATCATCTTGATTAACCGTTGAACTAGCCTAACCTAACTTAAAATGATGGTTTTCAAAACCGACTGGATCGGACAGTCGGACTGGAAAAACCAGGAATCGGTCAAGTGATTGGTTTCGTTTTCCTCAAACACTGGATTTTCCTTCAAAATTGTTGATTTTGGTCAGCGAACCATTGAACCGGGCGGTTAACTGTTCGAACGGTTTTAACCGTTTTTTATATTTTTAAAATTTTTATTTTTTTGTCAGAACGAGCCAAACGAACAGTTCGAATGATTAGACCGTTCGACCCAATAACCGGACCCCTGATTGGTTCGTCCTCCGGGCCGGTTTTAAAAACTATGCTTAAAACTTCCATTGCATATTGATTGTTAAAAATGGCTTCAGTTTAGTTTGAGGGGAAGGTTTTTGAGTTTCACTTGGAGTTTAGATTTGAATTCAAGATATTTGTGTTTTTAAGCTTTACCCAATTCACCCCTTTTGGATAAGGCCATTATTGGTCCCAGTAACAAAACACTATAGAGGCAAATTGGAAACATTTTCCATACTTATATATTGTCAATCATGGGAGATGTTCCCGATGTATGGCTATAGTGTCTTGTGGGCAGTGTAGTAGTAGATCTAAAGTGGAGTATATAAACCAAAGAAATGTCTTATTTGAAATTCCAATGCTTTTGCTTTTGTCAATTGAAGCCAACATATTTAACATGAGGTAAAAGAGCATGGGTACCAAGATACATGAAGAAATCAATACTGACATAAAGAGAGTAAAACCTCTTGACATACAAAAGACCCCTTTATTGAAAGACCCACGACGATATATTGGATTATGACTTCAAAAGAGCTGTGTAAATAGTTTTGTTTGCTCCACAAGAGTGCTAGTAGTAGTAACCAATCTAAAAAGCACAAACCTTATTTACTTATCAAGGCTTATCAATTCAAATAGTTATAACTCAACCAAGTAGAATTTGGCTGTTTTATTTTTAGATTTTATGGCTACACCAAAACAGCTTGAAGACATTATTGATATTGAGCTATACTTAAATTGAACATGTTAGGTTCTTTGTTTCCTAGCTTATTGGGCTAGCATTTCATGGATTAAATGTAGAAAATTAGACGAGACATGTGCAATTAAAAGATGCCATGTTTGATGGGTTGCAGACAAAATCATGCACACCGGGCTGGGTGGGAATCCACATCTTATTCCAATGGAACATTAGCATGTTCAGTTGTGATAGGTTATATTGGTGTGCGTGATTCTATCTTGAACCACTTAGCCAATCAATCCAAGTGATTAGATTCCATTTCCTTATAAGAAGGAAGCAACATGGGTTGTACTTGAGTTTAAATTGTCCCATGTTTGAGTTTTTAGTATCTGTAAAAATTGTAAAAAGAAAAAAGAAAATAGGAAATTTTGAGGGGGTTGGGAAACAAAAAAGAGGAAGAAAGTCACTCAAAATCATGGTTTTAAAAAACGACCCAGAAATGGAACCGTTTTAGCTACTGGTTTCCAGGTCGACAGTTCGGCCATCTGGATTGAACGGACGGTACATTTTAACAGAAAAATAAAAAAATAAAATAAAATGGCCAAAAACTATTGAATAGGTCGACGGATCAACGGTTCGACCGCCCAGATCAATGAGTTGTTGATTGATTTAACGGTTTTTGGTCAAGGACCGAGTTTGAGATAAAATGGAATTGATTGCCTGGACAATTCCCACGCTGAACAGTCTGATCATTCGGGTCAATGGCGGTTCAAAAACCATGCTCAAAATACTTCCAATAGGCAAATAGCATATACAAAGACATATATTTGAATACAAGATATTTGTATCCATGAAAGTCTGATGAATTATCCATGTACATCACTTATTTTTTTTTAAATTCAACCATGATGTATTTACTAATATCGCCTGCACATTATATCTTGTAAAATTTTCAAAATGATACCTATTTTTATTTTATTTTTACTTTTTAAATTGCGTAATCTCAATTCTAACAAGAACATGAGGTATCGCGCCCAGTCCATGGGATCAGCACATGTATTTGCCCATGAGAGAAAGAGAGAGAGAGAGGCCCAAAAAAAAGCCCATCATTCTCTCAACATCCATGACACGGACAAAGCAACTTCTAACAACCGCAGGATGCGCGTTACGCATACTCAAAAAATTTGCCCGCTCCTTATTATATCCATCTAACGTTATCAGCTTCTCTGCCATGGATTAACTTCTCCTCCCTCCTTCCATCTCTCCCGCTCTCTAGGTCGGTTGTTTTTCAGCCTCTCTGGACCATGGAGGGTTTAATAACGAGTTTTGCAGCTCGATTCCCAACATGTTCGAAGCAGTATTCAACTTCTCATGGTTTTTGCAGCAGGACGAGAAAACCGTTTGTAACTCAACCTTCGCCGAACTTCAGAGCTCTCCGAGTCGTTTGTATGGCGGTAAGTTATGTTTATAGTCTCGGATTTATAGAATTTGAGCAACATATTCAGTAGAGAGCTTATCAGACTGAGACTATCAACTTTCCTTGACTTTCAGTTCTGGATTACCAAATACTTTTCTTCTTTTGGTTAAATTGCAGGAACCCTATCTGATAACGAAGCTAGACTCCGCCGAGAAGACATGGAAAGAATTGTCGGTACGAATTTATTGAGAGGACTTGGTTTCTTGTTTGCACATAAATTTCCTTTTATAATCCACCGCACCCTTGCTGTTCACGTAAAGTTTCAAAAGAATGTACCTTTCAGAAAAGGAAAGGTTTTCCTCGACTCGATTATTTTTTAGCAACCTTGGTGCCATTATATTCGTAATCACTATCCCTTAGTTAAAGAGTCAGGTAGGTAGGTGTGCAAACACAAAACTGAGAGAAATCAGAAAGCTTGCATATAAAGTTGGGGCTTCTTTCAAGTGGGTTAGAAGGTTAGCAAATAGTTTGGCTGATGCTTTGGCCAAACAAGTGGTTTCTAGGGATCATTTTTATTGGGTGTTTTTGAATGATAATGGAGGGTTGGTCCAGCTCTATGGAGCTGTTGATTGTAATCCATATTAAGCTTCTATTTTAATAAAATATTGTTATTGATAAAAACGAACGTCTTAGAACAATGTCTGCATTTCGATACTAGAGTCGAGGTATTCAGAGACATTTTAGATGTGGACTTTTACTGGTCCATTTCTTAATCCGTATTATAATTCAGGGGATGCTCCTTATATTCCGTGATTGGAGCTTGGCCTAATCTAAGAGGTCACAGTTCTGTTTAATAACGTAATTGTATCAGAGATCAACAGCAGCATAACTATAATTTCTTTGGGGCAATAATTGTTATTTTCTTATCTACTTAGGGCATTATTTGTGAAGCATCAATATCCAAGGCATTACTGGGTGATAAACTATCCAGTAATTGAAAATTCAGTTCACTGGAAAGTGCTTGTCCTATTGAGTGCATGTCATACATTGACAACCTATATATGATCAGATTTCACATTCAAGTTTCTCATTTGGTAAAGGATCCATATGCAATGCTTTATGGGTAGTAGGTGCATGAATCATGGTTTTCTGGTTTGTTAGATTTCTCGCTTGCACCTCCAATTTCTTTTACATGAGACAGGAATCCAAAATTTGATTGTTGCAGGTCAAATTGGCAGATCCTGATGTTGTCTCAAATCCCAGTGAATACCAAAAGCTTGCACAATCTATGGCAGAACTTGGTGAAGTAATAGAGATTGGATATGATTCATTTCCTGGTTTATTTTCCTATTTTGGAAATTTGCTGCTTCTCGTTTCTGTTATCTGTTAAGCTTCTCTTGCCATTTCCTCTGTTAGATTTATTTATCTTGTTCTTTGATGTAGTAGGTTGTGTCAACCTATAGGAAATTCAAGGATTGTGAAAAGCAATTAGAAGAAGCAAAAGGTTGCCAAAGTGCCTTTTACTTTCCACTTAAAATCATTTACTAAGAATTCTAAAAAATTTGCAATCAACTAACCACCATCAATTTTCTTTTATTACTTTCTCCTTGACAGCTTTATCAGATGAGGATGGTACTGATGAAGAAATGGCAGAAATGATAGCTTTAGAAATTGAAACTTTATCTGACGAACTTAAGGAGCTCGAGGAGAAACTGAAGGTATTTTCTTCCTCTATGTGTGTGTGCATTCCTTACAGCATTCATCTGTTATACTCTGAAATGTTTCCTTTCTAAGGACCTGTAAGTTTGCAGAAAACTTATCTGAGTTAAGTAATTATGGTGTCACTATAGGTGTAAGTTATCTATACAAGAAGGTCAATATCTTGTAAATCCAATTTGTTTCAGTGGTTATGGTCATTTTAGTAACAACTTGTGAAAGGATTATAGAAGTTTCTATTTTTGGATCTATGCTGGACTGGAGTTGTCTTTTGTTTCTTTAGTTTTATAGGATTAGTAATGGTTATATAGAGTTGGTTTAATTACTAATGATTATATAGGTTGGTTTAGGAGTTAGGATCCATATTTCAGTACTTTTATAGGTTTTTATTAGTTCCAAAGCAATTAGAAGTTGTTTTTGGTCAATTTCCTAGTTTAAATTGGAGTTTGAAGGGAAGGGAGATCTATCATATGGATGGCCGAACCATGTAGGGTGGCTGGGCTAAATTTCAAAAACTGCATTTTTCAATGATCATTCTTGAAACAAACTAGACCAAATCTGAACCAAGATTAGGGAGAGGTATACCTGATACGGAATCCACGCAAAAGCTTCTTCCAATGTAGGTGTTCACGCCCAAAGAGGTTACCAAATCCTTCCTCCATTGAAGATGACACAGCTTAGGGTGAGGAAGAATCAGCAAGGGGTTCTTCAACAAGAACCTCAAATTCTTCAGCAAGAATTGAACAGGGTTGTGAGCACAACTTCAATATTGTTTCTTCTACCAAGAAACAATATCAAAATCCAATCTTGATTACTCCAAGAGGTAGAGATCGAATAGGGTAGGGTGGCAAGAGCAGAGGGAGAGAGAACTAAATGCAGAAAACAGTGGAACTGTGTAACCCTTTTTCAGTTTGCCCTCCTTTTAATAACCCTTAAAGACTCGACCTCCTAATCTGATTAGGAGTTTTTTGATCCAAATCTTTATTTGGATCTGAACTCTTTAAGTGATAAGGCTTATCCCTTATCTTATCTGCAGATCAGGATTAACTTCTCCTAATCAAATTAGAAGTTTTCTAATCCAAATCTCTATTTGGATCTAGACTCTTTAAGTGGATAAGAGTTATCCTCCTATCATTTTCTACTGATCCATACCTAGATTCGCCCCCTATTTAATTAATCATATTAAGCCCAGCTCGAATTGGGCTTTAGGCCCATTAAGCTTTCATGCTCATTTCCCTTTAAGTGTCGGCTAACTTGGTTCTCTTTGTATGGCGTGGGACCCTATCATTGATCTCCACATAAGCCACATGGGTTCAGCCCAACCTCTGTTATAAGGCCTGACCGAGTTCACTGCTGAATACAGTGAACCCTTGAGTCCATCAATATTGGTTCTTAATGGGCCCAACATTTATACTAAATGGTCCTTGGGTCCAGCCATCTTATGAAGGTCCAAGGACTATGGGCTGATGTGAGATTAGCCCATCAGGTTTATTATCCCTAAATGGTCTTACACTTAATCTCTCAGCCCATAATGATCAAACACTGCTCGACAAGGGAGGACCTCTCCCTTGGCTGCAAGGTACAGTGTTGCACTCTTTGCTCACATGGATCCTGGGAATTAAAACATTTTTGCAAATGTTTTGTGAAACCATAATATATACGTATATCTCTATATAAATATATTTTGCAAAACAAATCTCAACTACTTTGAAATCAACTACCGACAGTTTAGGTTTCCATAAGAGAGAGTGCATTCCCCGATCATTCACTTTGTCTGACAAAATGGCTGATCCTATCACTATGATCACTCACTCAGGTGAACTCTCAAACTGTCCCAATATGCCCAAGTTTTGACCCCCGCTTCTCACTGATTGGCATATCAAAGACAACCCAATCCGACACCTAGTGCAGTACCATAATCGAGTCTAGGGGTCAGGTGTAACATTCCAGTTTTTCCCATCTGTCTCCAAAGTCCAGGGCAATACTAGAATTTGGTCCGGTTCAGGATTTCAAGAAAACCCACATTGCACGTGCCTCAGGTCTCACCCTAGTAGCTGAGACAAGCCACCCGAACCCACTTGGCAGCACATCAGTGTCAGCCTTGGCAGGATAAAACCTCCCCAGGTCTATACAACGGTTGTGAAGATTCTAAACTAACACGAGTCTCATAAGTGTCCAGTTTAAGGGTATTACATAGAAACACACCATAATAACATGAATCAATTATGCACTTTATTCATTTACAATAAATGTCAATAAGTACATCAATCTGATTGGAGCTAAGGGCATACCCTGTTTAACAGAGTTTATGAAGGGAGATCTAGACCCTTATGCTAGGTCTCTTCCTCCCTCCCTCTCCCTCTCTCTCTCTCTCTCTCCCCTCCCTCACATATTTCTTGCTCAATGATCTAAACCTTTTTGCTGTCTGTTATGACAACAAAAGGTGTTATTCTTTCTAATTTCCTATTGATTCTTTGGTGGCTAGCAAGCTTTCTATTTGTTTATCCATCTCTATTCTTCATCAATTTTTTGGTGGAATCTCTGTTCTTCATTATCAGTCACCAAACTTACCTTCCGTTGCTCTGCAAATGTCTAGTATCAGATCCAAAAGTTTGTAGGACATCCTAAATGTCTACTATCAAACTGTCTATTTGAAGCTGAGGTTTCTATTTTTAGTTTTTTCCTGATCTCCTGCTCATGATTTTGCAATTTTACTGATAGGTACTGTTGCTTCCTAGTGATCCTCTTGATGCACGAAATATATTGCTTGAAGGTATGCTTTACATTTGTGCTATAGTATCAGCTAAATTTATTACTACTTTGTCATCAATTACAAATTGATCCTGGGATACCCATTTTTGCACAAGATTATTATCTCACAGCTTTAATTTTCTACTTAGTAACTGATGCAATAAAACAATCTTGTTTTTTTTTTCTCACATTTCTCAGATATATTTCGTAATTTCCTTTGAATGCAGTCAGAAAGGTGATAATTAGTTATCTTTCTTTGTCTCTGAATACTTCTGGTTACTCCGTTCTGTGTTATGCAACGAATTAGTTGTCACCTATAAATTTGAGATGTTACCTTGTTCTTAGGTCCAATTGATATGCTTTGTTTGAATAAATACAGTGAATAGTTTTTTACATTAGTTAAAAACAATAGAACGTAAATAATTTCTTTGTTTCTTTACCTTTTCTGATTAGGATGATCTACTGGTACAATCAAATTTTAGGTACAGGATAATTTACTAAAAATTGAAGGCTAGAAGGGACTTCAGGAGAAAAGTGGAACCTGCTAAACTCAAATCAGGGGCAAGGGGGGAAAATAGACTAAATTTGGTATTTATTGGACAATGTTCTACTAAAATACTTCCACTCCTCTTTTGCAGTGAGGGCAGGTACTGGTGGTGATGAAGCTGGACTATGGGCTGGTGATCTTGTAGGTACATATTACTTTTGTGCTGCTAATCATGGTTTTCAGAAATGTCATGTAAATCTTTGATATGTGTGGATGGACATTTTTATTTTAAACTTACAACACAATAATGGCAATAAGGTCTGCTGTTGAACTTATTTGGGTGTGCCTGATGCTTTGGAAGGTTGATAATACAAAGATGGGACTAACACTTTAAAGTATATGCTATCCATGGTTCCATGTTGTGCCATGATGATCAGGCCCCACAAAATAAGGTTCCCTCCTCCTGATGTAGGATTGGTTGCTTTAGTACCAAATTGTTGTAGGACCAACATATTTGATACTGCTTGAAGTAGGATGATGAATCAAGGATGGATTCAGAAGGATTTGAATGGGTTTAGGGGTGATGTTAAGACCAAAAGGAGAGTGTGCTTAGGCTAGGAAAGGTCTCGGGCCTTGGATGCAAAAATTGCAGTTTTGTAAGATGGTGAAGAACTTCTGTAGGTATGTACTCCTTCAGACCCTCAGAACATAACAAACACTGGATTGATACCACATGGATGCTTGCAATCAGCCCGCAATTAACTTTCCCTTTGCGATGAACCCACAACGTGCATCGTAGGACCGCGATAAACCCACGGTTCATCGCACACTCTTGACGAGCCCATTCACAGCTCGAACCAAGGCAAACCTGGGCTGGACCCGCGATGAGGTTCGCATGCACCGGGCCTTGCGATAAACCCTCAATCACTGCAGTACCTTGGTCCGCTAAGGAACCGTGTCCACATGCCACCCACGCGCGTGATGTCATGGAGACGAACGTGGCAAGGAGCCACGTAAGTTTAACAAGACGTCGTCTGCTAGACGGTGACGTCACTAGCACCACGTCAATTAAGTAAGGCACGCAAGAGGTAGTAGCACACGTGAGTTATGAGGATCCCCGAGTGAAAGGAAAGTCAATCATCGGAGGATCCCCATAGGGACACGTGGCGAAACCCCAACAGAGCCCTTAATGATTTGATAATGAATCCAATATTCACTTTCCTAGTAGAAGACAAACGCCTTTAGTTCCTTCTTTTTAGGATCTTGGGATCTTCCCCATAAATAGAGATCCTTTTCATAATGAAACTCATTCATCCAGCCACTGATTAACCCTATCACTGGACTCCCTGCTTAGCCGTCTCTTCACCCTCTTTGCCTTAACCTTCTGTTTGACTCCTCGCCCCCGGTCTTCCTCTGTCTTTCAAGGAGACCATCATCCCTAGTCTAACCACCACCTTACTTACAACTTCAAAATAAGTAAAATAAATCAATGATAGAAAAATTTCATTGAAATTTTGTAGGTAGTAGAATAGACAATTGTAGAGGGAGATCAAGTTTGGGAAGGTTTGATGTTTGTCTTGCACAAAGAACAAAAAATCTGTTTTATGAAGAAAACCTAAAATCAATGGGATCCGGGGTTCTAGGTGGAATTTTGAAATTAGACCTATTGGGATGAAAGGTTTTAAGGATCTATGGAAGTACAATACTCAATATGGAAAAAATCAAAGATAGTTTGGCACAAAAAGACAAGCATGGTTGGAATGGAAAAATTTTGGGCTTTTAATGAAAAATAAAGGAAAAATTACCTAGATCTGTTCCAGTATTTTGAGAATGTTGAAAATTTGACTTTTGATGAAAAACTTATGACTGTTGATAGTTTAATGGGTGCTTACAAAATCAAGGAGAAAATATAAAGGGAAAACCCAGAATCACTAATTGGGGTGCCTAGAATCATTCTAGGGCATGGGAATCACTTACCATATGTAGCATAGGCTATAAGATCCCATATGTACTCCATTTTGCACTTATACACATGCATACATACACGCTATAAGGGTGATTTCTACTAGAAATAGGAAAAAGGAAAATGTTAGGACATTGAAAATTGCCACTATCATTAAAAAACTCAATATCTCCTAACTACTTAATTAATGACTGCAATTATAAACATAAACCAACTTTAACTAGACAAATCAAACTCCTAGGCTGAAACCCACAAAAATATATGAAATGACCCAAATACCCCTATTGCATTCATATTTAGAAAATTCCAGCTTTAGCTTCTTTTCTCCTGCTTCAACTCCCTTCCTATCTTGGTCTAATATTAGCCTTATTTGTCTTTTGGACATTTGATGTGTTCCTCCTAAGATTTGGTGGGAACTAGAAAGTTGAGCATCATCTTTGCTTATCGTGGTAATTCTCACAGCTAGTTGTTTCATTGATTTTTTTGTTTTAATAGTTACATGCCTAATTCTGCTAAGTAGCTTAAACATTTCACTTTTTGTGGTTAACTACTTTCTAACACGTTCTGCCGGACCTGGCATTTAGGTTGGGTGGGTTGGGTTCGGGTTGGGTCAAGACACTTCGGGTTGGGTTGTCTAACCCTAACCCTAAATATTTGGGTTAGGATTGACCCATGGGTCAATTCGGGTCCTCCCAAAAAATAATTGAAATTTTAAAAAATAAAGAAAAAATACATGAAATGCCAAAATTAAAGGAATTAACCTTAAAATTCCAAATATAAAATAAAAAAAACTTGAACATTTAACAATTCAAAGAGTAAACAATAGAGTAAAGACTAAATAGAAAAATTAAAGAGTGGAAATTTCTAACAATGCATAAATAGTCCCAATCAGACCTGACAATCGGGTCAACGGGTTGACCCATGACCCAACCCAACAACCCAGTTTTTCCGGGTTGGGTCGGGTTGGGTCATTCTCACATTTAGGTAGCTAAATATGAGACCCTAACTGTTGGGAACCAAGGCCCATACCCAACCCAGAGGCCCAGGCCTCCACTCACTCACACTTACCTGAGGAAGAATGCACGCAAGCCGTTATTGCACCCAACTGCAAAAAGCAACACATTAGCTGGTCCCTCTGCATGAATTCGTTAGAGCTCAAAGTTTGTTGAGATATTTTGTAACCCAAAACCATTATAAATATGGGTTGGCCAAATGAATGAAGCATGCAAATTGAATCCACTTTTCTCTCTCTCTCTCTCTATCTCTCTCTTTCTCTTTTCTCTTCATTTCTACGCAGGAGGAAGGGTCTCCCTCGAAGAGACTCCTAAGGTGAGCAGCAACTCATCAATTGGTATTAGAGCGTGGACGGCTAACCTGAACGATCGAAGATGACCAACACACGATCAGTGACTCTGGACAAGAGGGTGGACAAGATCGAAGTTGATCTCCACCAGGTGGTTACGGGGCTTAAGGAGATCAAGGAAGCCATGTCGGTAATCGCATCTCAGAAGGAGAAAGCTTCTCTTGCCGCAAGCCGAGAAAGTGACAATGAAGAATCCAGCTGGGGCAGCAACAGGAGGGGAAATTACGTTCCAGGAAGAATCACCAAACTGGATTTTCCAATGTTCTATGGAGGAGATCCGATTCCTTGGACTCCAGCGCGTGACCATCGCTTCTTTTCATCTAGAAGGGGAGGTGGTTTTGTGGTTTCAGTGGTTCCAATGCTCCTGTCCCCAAATATCATGGCAAGAATTCACAGAGGCGTTGTGCATACGATTTGGTCCTACCGGGTACAATGACTATGACGAGATGTTCTCTAGGGTAAAATAGACGGGAACGGTACGAAAACTACCAAGTTGAGTTTGAACGGCTAGCCACCAGAGTATATGGGTGGTCGGAGAAGGCATTGGTCGGTTGCTTTGTTGGAGGATTGAGAGACGACATCAAGGTAGAAGTGAAGGCCCTTAAGCCCACTTCTCTGTCTGCGGCTGTAGGTCTAGCAAGGTTGCAAGAGGCGCGGCTCAACCGACTAGGGAAGGTGGCGACTTGGCCATCGGGGCCCCTGTTAAAAACCCCATCCCGCCAAGATGGGTTTTGTCCCTAGGCCCAAGACAGAACCCAACCTAATTGTTGGGGAGCCCACTCGGCCCACCCAAGGACCCACACCGCCAACTAAGAGCCCAGTCCCCTTCAAACGCCTCTCCTGGGCTGAAATGTAGGTCCGGCGTGAGAAGGGCCTGTGCTACAATTGTGATGAGAAATCTGGGCCTGGTCACCAATGCAAAACCCAGAGGATGTTCTTGCTGCAATGGGAGGAGACTGGAGGGGAAGATGATGAAGAACTAGCTGAGGAGGAAAGGGAACCGAACAGTACTCAATACAACAACCCCGAGAACTCTGTGTAAGCTTTGACAGGGCTGGCATCCCCCAAATCTATGAGGGTTGAAGGGAAGCTCAGAGGCCGCCGGGTATCCGTTCTCATAGACAGTGGAAGCACACTGAATTTTGTCACACAAATATTGGCTCGTCAACTAGGTATGACAGTTCTCTACACTTCTCCATTTGCTGTTAAAGTGGCGGATAGTAACCACATTGAATGTGAAAGTATTTGTAAAAATGAAAAGTTGATAATCCAAGACCACACTTTCATCGTGGATTTGCATCCATTGGATTTCAGCGGGGCAGATGTAGTGTTGGGTGTACAATGGCTGAGCCAATTGGGCCCGGTCCTTTGTGATTGGGGACATATGACCATGTTCTTCTATTGCGATGGGCTCCGCTGCCATCTGCAAGGTCAGGAGATACCCGGCCCACTAATGGAAGGTCTACACTCCATGATAAAAGGGGGGTTTTGGAAAGGAACATGCTGATGCAGATGGGTCCGGTGCCTATTGGGCCTTTACTAAGGCTAGAAAATGCGGTCCAACCATCTGAGAAGGACCAAGATGACATACAAAGGGTGATAGGCCAATTCCCAGAAGTCTTTAGAGACCCAAACCAGCTTCCTCCAAACCAGTTCCAAGACCACCACATACCCCTAACTCCAGGGGCAGCCCCTACCAACGTGCGGCCCTACAGATACCCGCACTTCCAAAAGCCTGAGATTGAGAGGCTCGTGAAGGAGCTCCTGCACAAGGGATGGATACAGCCTAGTACAAACCCATTCTCGTCCCCAGTGCTCCTTGTTAAAAAGAAAGACGGGTCCTGGCGTTTTTGTGTGGATCACCGGGCCCCGGAACCATATCACAGTCAAGGATAAGTTCTCGATCCCGGTTGTGGATGAGTTATTAGATGAGCTGGGGCAAGCCAAGTATTTCTCCAAAATGGACCTCCAACCCGGCTACCACCAAGTCCAGGTCCACCCTGAAGATATATACAAAACAGCCTTCAGAACCCATGATGGACACTATGAATTCCTAGTTATGCCGTTTGGGCTGTTCAACGCCCCTTCTACCTTTCAGGCCATCTTGAATGATGTCTTCAGGCCCTACCTTCGGTGTTTTATTCTGGTCTTCTTTGATGACATTCTGGTATACAGCAAGGATTGGGATTCACACCTCCAATACTTGGAACAAACATTGAGCTTGCTGAAACAACAACTGTTTGCCAAACTTTCAAAGTGTTTTTGGGCAGACTGAAGTCCATTATTTGGGCCATGTGGTTGCAGCTGGACGGGTCATGGCTGACCCAGAAAAAATAAATTGTATACAAGACTGGCCCACGCCAAGACAGTCAAATCCCTACGCGGGTTTTTGGGCCTTACCGGCTACTATCAGAGGTTCATATGCAACTATGGGTCACTAGCAGCCCCACTAACTGGGCTTCTCAAAAAGGACTGCTTCATTTGGACGAAGCAAGCCCAGAAGGCTTTTGATTCCCTCAAGCAGGCCATGACCAACAGAGGACAGTTCTATGCTCTGGAAATACAACAATGAAAAGAGGAAGTTCAAGTGGCTCACCAAGGACATGGAAATCCATTGTACATGGATAAAGAGAAGTGCAAATGCATTGGCAGATGGTCTAGCTAGACAAGGGGTAAACAGAAATACTATATTTTGGGCTGTTTTGTAATTGTAATTGTAATTGTAATTGCTTCATGGTCAGGATGTACCTTGGGTAGTTGGAAGTTAAGATTCTTTAGCTCCCTCCTTTGTAATTCTAATTATCTCAATCTTTATTAAAATAAAATTTCATTGTTATTGATAAAAAAAGCAGGCCATGACCAGCCCACCAGTCCTAACCTTACCAAATTTCGAAGAGACCTTCGTGGTCGAATGTGATGCATTAGGTGTGGGAGTTGGAGCGGTGCTCATGCAAAATGGAAGGCCCATATCTTATTTCAGCAAGGCCCTTTCCACTAGAGCCCAAAACCAGTCAACATATACAAAGGAGCTTATGACAATAGTACTGGCAGTCCATAAATGGCGGCCATACTTGTTGGGTTGAAGGTTCATAATCCGAACCGATCAGAGAAGCTTGAAGTTTACACTGGACCAAAAGGCTCTCACCCCAGATCAACAAAAATGAGTAATGAAGTTAATGGGCCATGATTTTTTGATCGAATACAAGCCTGGAGTCACCAACCGAGCTGCAGATGCATTGTCACGGAAGGCTGAGTTGTCGCTGTTAGTGCACTCTCAGCCCCATTACCCTCTATTTGAAGCTTTATGAGAGGAGGCCAGAAATGACCCCAGCCTTGAAAAGGTGCAGCAAAGCTATTTGCAAGACCCCACCTCTACACCGGGGTACACCATGAAGGGAGCAGACTTGTTTTTTAAAGGGAGATTTGTTTTCTCTCCTACTTCAGCACATCAGAAGTAGGGGTGGCAACGAGCCGAGCTTTTCACAAGTTGCTCGAGCTTGGCTCGTGAAAAGCTCAGCTCGGCTCGGTTTCAGCCGAGCTCGAGCCCAATACAGTGGCTCGATTATTAAACGAGCCGAGCTCAAGCCTATTAGACTCAAATATGTATATATATATATAATAAAATTATAGAAAATAATACATATAATAAAAATATTATAATTCTTAATATTTTAAATATAAAATAAAAAAATTATATATGATTTTTATTTTTATAATAAAATATTTATAAAAATATATAATAAAATAGCCGAGCTCGAGCTTATGAACTTTTGACTCGAGTCGAGCTCGAGCTCAAGGTTCTGGCTCAAACCGAGCTCGAGCCTTGTAGAATAGTCTTGAGTCGAGCTCGAGCCTGGCACTATTCGGCTCGGCTCGAATCCACCCTTAATCAAAAGACCTTGCTAGAGCTCTATCATGATTCAGTGTTGGGCGGACATTCAGGTATTTTTCGGACCTATAAGAGGGTACCATCACATATTTATTGGCCCAACATGAAGAAGGCAGTCGAGCAACACATAGCACAGTGTACAATATGCCAGCAACAAAAGTACTCGGCCTAATCCCCTCCTGGTCTCCTGCAACCCCTCCCAATTCCATCACAGGTTTGGGAAGATATATCCCTGGACTTCATCACTGGTCTTCCATCCTCTGGGGGCAAGGCAGTGATTATGGTGGTAGTCAACAGGCTCTCTAAGTATGGTTACTTTGTTGCCCTATCTCATCCCTACACCACAACTTCAGTAGCTGAAATCTTCATCAAAGAGGTGACACAACTCCATGGTACCCCCAAATCAATCATCTTAGATCGGGATCCAGCCTTCCTTAGTCAGTTTTGGAAGGAATATTTCCGTTTACAGGGGACAATGCTTCATCAATCTACTAGCTATCACCCTCAGTCCGACGGACAAACTGAAGTGCTGAATAGATGCTTTGAAACTTACCTACGTTGTTTTGTGGGTTCCAAGCCCAAACATTGGACGAAGTGGCTCCCATGGGCCGAATATTGGTACAACACTACATTCCAGGCGGCAGCAGGCATGACACCATTCAAAGCCGTGTGTGGAAGGGAACCACCACACATCCTTCCGTATGAAATGGGTTCAACCGCAGTGGCAGAAGTTGAAGCCCAGTTTGACGGGATGAGGTGCTCAGCCTCCTGAAGGAGAATTCATACAAGGCCCAACAACTCATGAAGAAGCAGTACGACAAAAAACATCGGGCCATCGACTTTCAGGTGGGGGACTACGTCTACCTCAAGCTACAGCCCTATCGACAGTCCTCTGTAGCAAAAAGGGTCTGGCATAAGCTCTCTCCTTGCTACTTTGGGCCGTTCAAGATAATTGAGAAGATAGGCTATGTTGCCTACTGACTGGACCTACCCAAGACAGCTCGTCTCCACCTAGTTTTTCACATTTCCTTGCTTAAGAAGTCTGGGGGATCCAACCAAAGTTAGCAGCAGCCTCCTAACATTTACAGAGGATGGAAACATTACCCTCACACCTGCCAAGATATTGGATTACCATTGGGTCCATCACGGGAAGAACATAGTGCAAGAAGCCTTAGTAACTTGGACTGGGCTTTCCCACCATGACTCCAAGTGGGAACTGTATTGGCAGCTAAAAAATGAATTCCCAGATTTGGACCTTGAGGACAAGGCCCATCTTGAGGGAGCGGGAACTGTTGGGAACCAAGGCCCAGGCCTCCACTCACTCGCACTTACCTGAGGAAGAACGCATGCAAGCCGTTACAGCACCAACTGCAAAAAGCAACACGTTAGCTGGTCCCTCTGCATGAATTCGTTAGAGCTCAAAGTTTGTTGAGATATTTTGTAACCCAAAACCATTATAAATATGGGTTGGTCGAATGAATGAAGAATGCAAATTGAATCCACTCCTCTCTCTCTCTCTCTCTCTCTCTCTCTTTCTCTTTCTCTTTTCTCTTCATTTCTGCGCAGGAGGAAGGGTCTCCGTTGAAGAGACTCCTGAGGTGAGCAGCAACTCATCACTAACCCTGTTTTTTCGGGTTGGGTTGGGTCAGGTTCGTGGGTTGGGTCAACTTTTTTCCAGGTCTACGTTCTGCATTTCTGCTAAAGCGTTGGGGTAATTTTTACCATCCAAGGTTCTAAATATCGATTGGGCATATCGATCTGTATTGATTGGTGTTTTATTTTTTTAAGTTTGTTTTTTTTCTCAAACCTGTTCAGGGGGGTTGGTATAAGGCCTGTCTTCCCCCTGAAACAGGTCAAACGTGAAACAATGCCTATAATAGTGTCTCGGTGGGTCACCAATACGATATGTATCGGCTGATACAGGCCAATACATTGTGAAAATTTGATCCTTGTTACCCTCTGCTTTGTTAACAAGTTGCTGATACCCTACTGTTTTTGGAGTTTGTAAATCACTTGAACGTTCCTTTTTATAGCTCCCCCATTCTTCTTTTGGGCCTTATTTTTCAAGCTATTTCTTGTAATCTCTTTCTTTTTTGAGTGAAATCATAAGTGAGGAATTTTGGTAATCCCATCAGGAGAAAAAAAAAAAAACTTGAAAGGAGGCTGTTACAAGTCATTTTCAAACTTGGCTACATTGGGAAGAAAAGGCTTTGCGATGTTTGCAGCCTATACTGTAAAAGGGTCTTCTGTACATTTTTGGACTTCTATATATTGGCATTTATTTGGCTACCTTCCGTTTTTGATAAACTGGGCACATCCCTAGTGAAAAGACAAAGAAACAATTGTTTCTATGATAGAAGTCAAAAACATGATGATGCGTTTGTCATTTCAAACATGTAGTTCTTGTCTCATGCTTAGGGGTGAGCTCCCTTTATCAAAAAATTGGATCTGTTCAAATGACTCTGCTAAAATATTAATTAAAAAGTTTGATTACTTCTAAGAAAATTTGTTTGTGACAATTCTTCTGTTATTATTTATCAACATTTTATGGGTCAGTTTGCACAGTTACTAGGCTTCTCAATGGATGTATTCATTTTGTTTATAAAAACCCTATACCACTGCAATATATAATATTCTGCATATACAGACTAGAACAACATGACTTAAACCTCCTGTTAGAGGCACTAAAACCATTTTTTGTGATGTCGGAAGCTGGTTATGAAAAAGTGAGCAAGGAAATTCTTTTTTTATAATCACAATTTTCTTTTCTACTTCATTTAGGTCCGCATGTATCAGAAGTATAGTGAACGTAATTCTTGGAAGTACACCACAGTTTCAAGTTCAGAGGTATTTATGTTAGCAGCCTACTAAATTCTGAAAGCTTACAGTTAGTAATGCCAATATCTGAATACATCTTCATTTTCAGGCTGAAAAAGGTGGTTTCAAGACATATGTGATGGAGGTTAAAGGAAATCGTGTCTATAGCAAACTAAAATATGAATCTGGTGTTCACCGTGTACAACGTGTTCCTCAGACAGAAGCTCAGGGCCGTGTGCACACTTCTACTGCCACTATAGCAATCATGCCAGAGGTACTGTATTTCTCTTTTGTTTTATCTTTTTTTTGTTCTCTTTTTTGCACTGTTATTTTTAATATTTTGTACCGAACAGAATGGAATGGTGAAACAAGATTCATGTAACCGATCCCATATAGCTGGAACAAGGCTTACATATTATTATTATTATTATTATTGTTGTTGTTGTTGTTGTTGTTATATTTTCTTGTCCAAGTTACTGGCTTTTTGTTCCCATCATGTCATAGAACTATTATGTAATTCATGATGTCCCATGTTTTTTTTTTTGTTGATAAGAAACTTGACAAGATTATACATACATAAGAAACTAGGTAAGGGAAGATCATAAATTCCAAAAGTGCAGTAGTTTTGATTTCTTGCTATTAGAATTTAGAGGAATAGTAGTAAGCATCAATTCATGCAACTCCTGCTGTCTTGCATTCTTTGCCCAAAATATGGTGGGACCCATGAAGGCATATAGTACAAGACAAGGTTGGGCATGTCTTTGAGGGTTGTCTTTACTTTTGCATTTTATGTTGTTATTTTTGCATTGAATTTTGGTGCTTGTTGCCATGTTTGGTTTGTTTCTACATTCTTATTTTCCTCTATTTAGTAGAATCTTTTGTTATCTAAAGAAAATGCTACATTTGGTCCAGGCTGATGAGGTTGAGGTGGTAATAGATCCAAAAGATATTGAGCTTACAACAGCAAGGTCTGGTGGTGCTGGAGGTAGGAGCTACTGAGAACTAAAATAGTCCTTATCAAGTGTATTTAAATGGTTCTTTAATCTTTATACAGAAGCATGTTATCCACGTTGATCTCTACTATTTAATAATCTCTAAGCATTTGGTTTCAAGGGTTGGATGTTGGTGTCAAACTCTAATCTTGGTCCCTTTGGAATGGGAGGTTGATGATTTTACAAATATTTGGAACTTTGGACAATTAGCAAATGCATGGATTTGGTAGGCACCAATCCAATTTTACTCTAGAGATGAAGGAATCATAGGGGACATGCTACTCATTGTACTAAATATAAACAAACATTTGTAAATTGGAACAATAGAAATAAGCTAATTTGGCCAGATACGTTTTGATAACTTACTTGAGGTTCCAAGCCGGCCATTGGGCTTGCAAATCACTAGCTGGGCCATAACCAATTAAAGGTCTTTACCCAATGCCGTTCCCAGCTATCTGGATATGGTCCTGACCTTTGGTATTGTTTGCACCAAGTGTTCGCTCTCAGACTTGAACCCGGGTCAAATTTGTGAAAGCATAGAACTTCAAGTGATGATTAAAAAAAGAGAACTTAGTGTGCTGATTCTGGAGCTCGATTGCCCTATCATCCTCTAGGAAACAAAAGGTCTCGGAGACCTGGAGTCCCCCAAGTGGTGGGTGGATGAAGCTGAATTTTGATGGAAGTAGCTGTGCTAATCCAGGGCCTTCCGGTATTGGTGGAGTGTTCAGAGATGAGAATGGGATTATATGTGGCTTGTATTCAGGTTCTATTGATCAAGGTGATTCAGTGAGAGCTGAATTCTTGGCTGCTATTGTTGGGGTGCAAAAAGCCAAGGATATGAAAATAAGATGTTGGATAAAATTGTTGTTGGATGGTTGAAAAAAGGAGAAGGGGTTCTATGGCAATTCAGAAATGATCTAAGAAGAATCAGGATAATATCAAGAGATATGCAAATCCATGTTAGATGGGTCAGGAGGTCTGCAAATGGGTTGGCTAAGCAAGGAACTCATAGACAGCAGTTGTTTTGGGCCCAATGTTAATTGTGTGTGTGTGTGTGGGGGGGGGGGGGTTTCTTCGCTGTAAAGGGCCTTTGGCCTAACAACTTCTTGTATTTTTTTTGTTCCTTAATCTTAATAAAATTTTCCTGAGTTGCTGATAAAAAAAAAAAGATATTCTGATCTCATGGCTTAATGTGAGGCACACTTTATCTGATCAGATCCTTTAGGACTTATGCCCACTCAGCTACAATGTAATGTTTCATATAGGTAAAAAATGAAAAAAAAAGAAATATTAGCATTTGTACAAAAATAATGGCCTGACCAGGACTTGACATCTTTGGCCAAGCCCAGCCTAGCCTGGACTTGATAAGTTTCCCGTGTACTTGGGCTTGGCCATGGCGTTAAAGCTTAGGTGCAGACCAATTTTGGGTCCATGATGGACTCCCTGTTGGCACAACTACATTGGAGCCTTATATATATTGGCATAATGATATTTGGTCCTAGTTATAATTTTTTCTGTTACTTTAACATTTCTTGTTGGACATATTGAAAATAATATTAGCCAATAGGGTTTCACATATTAAACCGTTTTTATATTTGACTTGTATTCCCTCTTAAAACAACTTTGTTAAGTCATATCACTTGCATTGAATTACTATACAGGACAGAATGTCAACAAGGTGGAGACAGCTATTGATCTCTACCACAAACCAAGTGGAATCCGCATCTTTTGCACTGAAGAACGGACACAGCTTCAGAACAAGAATCGTGCTTTTCAGTTGCTTCGAGCAAAATTGTGAGTTTAATACAAGTTGTTTGGATTATTTCATGGTATCTAAATAGTATTAGTAGCCATGATATTGTTATGTATACTGTATTACTACGTTATGATAAGTAATGAAAATTAATTTTATTAAATAGGAAATGCACTAAGTAACAAAAGAGAAGTTAATCGCAGCCTGAACCATGTAGTTGGTCTCTCTTGTACAAGATATGGAAAGAGAGGAATTGTTGCAGTGTCAAAGACCACCAGTATAGCTTGCTCTTAACATTTGAAGGAAGAATTAAAATTCTATTTTCTTTTGGTTTTCAATTCTTGAGGACTTGTCAAGGTTAAAATCCTCTGATCATTTCTATGATTGGACACCATTATTTATACCTCATCTTGTTTTTCTTTCTTTGTTCTTCTGAATTCTAATGGAAAGAGTCTTATCATTTTGTCTGCCTTGTGCTTTGTGGAGGCTTCCGATCCTAGAGCATTCAATTGCAAGGTAAGTTTTCTTGGAAGAGTGCCATTGCCTCCTCCCTGGTGGTTCCTCACTGCATTGGGTGACAAAAACCATATTTTCTTATCACCTGTTTTGTGTGGTTCCATAAAATTGAGAAATGCATTGGTAGTGGGGCTTTATTGTAAGGATCTCCATTATGGAGATACATAAAGAAAATATTTACTACTTTTAACTTTATGCTGTCAGCCTATTGCAGTGAGAAGATTTAATTTTGGTGCAGGTCAGCATAAATATTACTGAAATTTGCCACATGTCATTATGCACATCATATGGAAAAATATTCAGCAAGTTTTTTTTTTTTTGGAAATGATGGAACTATATACTTCCTATTTATACTTCAGTCTGGAGGTATGATATGTATCATTTGGATTCAATTTAATGATTGTTATATTCCATTTCTAGTTTCAATTATTGCAGTTTTCTCCCTTTGCTTTCAGTTGATCTTGATATACTTTAGAAAGTTGTGATGTTGTTATTTATCTATGGTACACTGTATATTGGCTACAGGTATGAGATCAAAGTGAGGGAGCAGCAAGAGTTGATAAGGAATCAGCGAAAATCACAGGTCTGCTGTCTTATTTTGTGTGTAAAATTGTAAGCCATCATTTTGTGGTTGGATGTGATAACCACATGAGGTTTTTTAGTTGTGTTAACATGAAAATCTACATGATACTTTATAAAAGTTCATTATGTTGGGTTTCCATGTCTGCTTCTTTAGGTGGTAACTTGCATCATTTAGTACTTAGTATAATGCCCAGAAGCATAGTTATGGGTTATGTCAGAATTTGATTGTCATTGCTTTTGAATGAAGACTGAGATAAAGATAATGAGTGACAATATTCAGGAAGATGAGAGATATAGTAGATAACCTAGATGTTTTTTTTTTTTCTTTTTTTTTCGGCGGGGGGGTGGGGGGAGACATGTAAAAGCTGTCCTTGTCAAGAAATATTGGATCATGTTCTCAGGTATATGAAATAGAGATGCAGTATGACAATGCAAATTTGAATTTCATGTCTGTTTTTAATCAGACCTGGAGCTACGTTTTATCTTCTTTTTTCTTTTTGGATTCGTAACCAAATCAAGAGAAGAGCTTCTTTTATGTTATCAAGGTTGATGGCATGTAACTAAGAACTTGACTGTGAAGTTGAAGCGGCCTCCTGAAACTGTGCTTGGATCTTAGAGTTGAATTGCATTAGGAAATGCCTGAGCAAGTGGGTAGTTTTTTTTTATTGGTAAGTAAGAGGCAGAGTTTTTTTTTTTTTCCGCTCAAAGTTTATGATTCTTGTGTATTGTTTAGAGCCATTAGTTAGATGAAGGCTGAAGGGGTCCTATAGTTTTAGAAAAACGGATTTGAGCTAAAGCACCAAATTTATAGTCTGAACTCGGTGTTTATAATAGGTAAAGAGATTAGGCTAGTAATAAAACTTTGGGTTTAAGTAAGAATTGAGGTTGTGAAGATGTTAGGGTTGGGATATTGAACAAATGATGAATTACAGGGCAGGGTTGCCTGTGGAGTTGTAGTTGGGTTCTTTGAACTCCAGATTTCATGAATTAGGGTAAGCAAAGTATGCACTGCTGTGGGGTTTTCATGGATTGATCTCAATAAAGAAAATAAACTCAACAATGAAATTAACATAGAGACTGGGAAGTGGCTGAGGTGGTGAACCTGCTAAGTAGCCTAAATAGTTTCTCCTTTCAACCCCAAGAAAGAGACAAATAGACATGGGCCTGGGCTGCAGATGGAATTTTCTCGGTTAGATCCTTTGCTGATGGTCTGATTAGGGGAAGGATTGCAGACTTCCCTCGTATGCAAGTATGGATTCCCTCTTCCCCTTCCAAAATTAATTTCCTGGTCTGGACCTCTGCACTTGGGAAATGCCTAACAAGAAGTAATTTGGCTAAGAGGGGATTCAGTTTATAGGACCTAAGTTGTGGAAACTGTGGTCTGGTCGAGGAATTCATGGACTACCTATGCATTCATTGCGATCTTTCATGGAAGATCTGGTCCCATTTCATTTCTTCTGTGAGTATATGCTGGGTTATGCCGAGCAATGTAAAGGAGCTGTTAAATGGCTGGCACCTTCCAGGCTTATCAAAAAGAGGCAAGCTCATTTGGAGACCTATCCCTGGGGCAGTTATCAACTTGATTTGGTATGAGAGGAATGGCAGAATCTTCAGAGGAGAGAAGAAAAGCCCTGAGGTGTTGATCCAGTGTATTGTGGCTGAGGTAGCATCCTGGATGTCAGTCCTACCTGAGTTTTGTGATCAGAATGTATTGTTGAGGCTAAAGTCAGTCAGTATATGGATCTCTAATCTCTTTATGAGGGGGATCTGTTTTCTTCCCTCTTTGTATGACTATTTTTCTTTTTAATAACATTTACTTTACCTTTTTCAAAAAAAAAAAATTAACATAGAGATTTTCCAGTGAAGGACATGGTCACATAGGTTGCATTTAGGATGATGGCTGACCATATAAAATTTAAACCTCAACTCAAATCTGGAAAATAGTAAACCTGCATGGCTTATTTGGTCCATGCATGAATTAATAGAGATCAAGTTGCACATACTTGGATATAAACTTGATCAATCTCACTAACAACCCATGCTCTAGTGACATGGGTGTTGCATCAACCATGGATTTGATCTTAATTATAACTTAATATTGAAGTGTCGGAAACTCAAAAGATAAACTATAATGATTTCTCCCAGTTCTTATAATCTTAAATAAATAAAAAGGTATTCCAGGTATGGGTCACAGCAAACTTTTTAGACTTCTTTCATGCTGAGGTGCTATTGTTTGTGCAAGGGCTGAAATTGGCTACTAGCCTACTATCTTGGGATATGAGAGTGGAAATTGACTGAGACTCTGAAGTTGTCATTGGATAGATGAGGGGTGATGACTTGGGTCCTTTTTTCTACCTATTACCATCTATGCAGTATGAACACCTCATTTAGCTGGATCCAAGGATGTGCTAACTCTTTAATTCATCAAAAAAAAAAAAAAGATCTGCCAACTCTTTAGTGGAGTCCCTGGCCAGGGAACATGCTGCTTTCTGGGTTCTTCTTTCTATGTTAGGTTTGCTCCCCCCTTTCCTAAATATGTTCTTGTAGTTCTTCTCTCAGAAAACATACATTCATTGATCTGTTGTCATTAAAATAAAAAAGGAACTTAGACTCGTACAATGAGATGGAAGCAGAAAGTAAAACCAAATGATCATGGGCCAAGATTTCTTTTTCTTTTTTTTTTTTTGGTAGGTCATGAACCAAGGTTTTTGATATTGAGTTTAGCTCTTAACTGGACTAAAAGGTGCTGTTTGAGTTTTTGAGGCTTTTGTACAACCATTCCTATGCAGAGCAGTGCCTCGGAAGTCAAAATATTGCTCTTTCCTCAGAAAGTTAATCTTATAGAAATATTTATGGAGAGGGTTGAAGTTGAATAAATTTACATGTAAAACTCCATTCCATTTTTGTACATTTCCGTACCTGATAGTTGTTGGATTTTACATGCTCATGTATTTTTATGCATCAGATGGAAGTATTCATAATGTGATATTTTCTGAAATGCCAGGTTGGTACTGGTGCTCGTGCTGAGAAGATCCGGACATACAATTACAAGGTACACTATAAAAATTGTTAATATTCCTTGTGCAGACTGTATAAATTCCTGGTCCTTGATGAAACACAGAAACCATTTTAAAAAACATGACCAGGGACTAGCATCTTTGTGGACAAGTCAGATCATTCTTGGTAGCCAGTTGTCATGGTATCCTCCAATGCTCTTTTTGCAATGTTGGCTGCTACTTGAGAGCTTCAATAGTATGGAAAATAGTGAGACATTGAGAACTTGTGCATTTGGCTTCTTATTGGCGGCCAGGCAAAGGCAACTTTTTTATTGGAGAAACATTGTTTTTGTTAATTATAAAGGAATGGTTTAATTACATATGGTACATAGAATTATATATGTCATGGGTGTGGCTAATATGATGGACACATCTTATTATATTTCTGTAGCAATATAGGCAATTTTTTATGGATAACATTACTTTTTTACCCTATTTATTTCCCTTTTTATTTAATAATTTATTTTTCTTTTATAGGACAATAGAGTCACGGATCATCGGTTGAAGATGAACTTTGAACTTACATCCTTTCTTGATGGTGATATAGAGACAGCTGTCCAGGTACACATTCTTGTTGCATCAATCAATAGTTATCAATCATGTCATTTTGGGGGGGTCTCCTTAATTATTATTTTTTTCTGGTAGAGGATAGAAGGTATATCCTGGATATCAGAAACTATGAAATGGCTCCATTTTATCTCTTTTTTCATGAATAAAGTGCAATTCTAGGGCCTTTCATCCCACAATTTTTCTGCTTAAGTGTGAGGGTGGGTATTTTTAAAACATTTTCTGAGAAACTTCGTCTCTAACAAATTTAACTACTTAGAGTTCAAGGCCAGCTAATTTTGTTGTTAAAATCCAATTTATTTTGGCATGTGAGCTATGGTTTTGCATTGGATGATAAGGAGGAAACATTAGTGGAACATTAAGGTTTTCCTTTCGTCTAATTAAAGTTTATTGCAGTCTTGTGCTGCGATGGAACAGAAGGAACTCTTGGAAGAACTTGCCGAATCTGTAGGTGCATCTGCTGGTTAGTCATGGCTTGCTCTGGATTTTTTTGGATTATTGACCAATGGGTGTGGCTGGTTCACAGTTTGAGTTTGCAACAAATTATGGATTTTATGGGGTGGAGGCCACACCTTATTTATCTTCAGGTATATTTTTTGTATAGAGAGTTCTATCTTACATGATTGATCAGAGAAAAAAGAACAAGAAAATTTCTTTGTAATAATAAATCCTGTTCTTTGATTGCATATTTCCATGATTAGATCTAGTGTCTTAATTCTTGGATTTTTTTACTTTAAGAGGTAACAACATGGATTAACTAAATCACCAATCTTCTTGATAGGTTAACATGCAAGAATGTTAAATAAAATTGACAATATGTTATTGCCACGGGTATATTTTGATAACCTTTGCATCCATAACAAAATGGAGTTTCCACTGGCAACACTGGAAACACGACTTGCAATATATTCTTTTACATTTACTTACCTTCTATATCAATTAATCAGCTCTATTCTTTAAAAGAAGGGATTATAATCCAAAAGTTCTGGCATTGGTTGGGCTTATTCATCATGTTGAATGGGCCGATTTGTGTTTAGTTTATTTTCTTTTAAATTAAGAAGTTGTTGGGCCTTGGGCCCATTAGTTCTTATTTTTAAAAGAGTTGTAACTATTTAGTTTGAGTTGCCGCCCTACTAAGGGCATCTTTGTAATATCTCATATTTAAGTTAAATATAAATAGAATGAAGGGCTGGCGGCTAGGGTTATGATACACGATCCTAGTTGACTTTCTTCTCCTTTTCTTCCTCTTTCTCTTTCTATTGCTAAAATCTACAACTTCCCCCTCTTCCTTTCACAAGAAGCTTAACCGAATCAGTAGATAGTGGTTTCTACTTGGTATCAGAGCAGGTTGAAGGTTCTGGAAGTGATTCTCTCATGCAGCCCTAGATCGACCGACTGCATAGAGATTTAAGAGGTTGATCGAAGCTCTCAGGTAAGCCCAGTTTTTGGATTTTTCTTGATGGATCTGTATGCCCTGTAGCTGGTCTAGGGTTTCTCATCAGAATCAGGAAAAACTGGAGAAAGGGGAAGAGTCCTGTTTTTGTTGGACTCTTCAATTTTGACCTAGGTAGTGGCGCCCTATTTTTTAGGGTTCCTTGGAGTTTTTTATAAGGGGTGATTCAAGTTCCACATGATTTGGAGACTTTAGAGAGGGCGGTTACCTTTTCTCTCTCTTCTCCCATCTCACAGAAAAGGAATCTTTCGTGGGAAGAAAGTCCAAGACACCAAAGGAGTGTCGTTGGTTCCAGAAGGTGTTTTGTTTATTCTTGCTGCATTTTTTATTTGTTTCTATACCCTTTTGAAGAAGCATGGAGGGACACAAAGTTGAATATAAGCTCGGGAATGAAATGGGACCTGTGGGAGGAGGTGCTGGAGACCCCTTCGGAGCTGGGACCATTACTACAGTTAGGTTGGATGGTACAAACTACTTGGAATGGTCCCAATCTGCAAAGATGGACAGTGGGGCTTGTGGTCGTGAAGTGAATGGAATCTACGTCCTTGATGCTCTCCCTCTTCACCAAAGTAATCATGTTTGTAGGGACAGTGAGTCAAAATCTGTGGATCAGATTATGCTTTGGCATAATCGTCTGGGTCATTTGTCTTTTTCTTCTTTGAGTTMTTTGTTTCCAAAACTGTTTGAGTCTGTGAGTCTGTCAAGTTTGAAGTGTGAAGGTTGTGAACTTGGAAAGCATTGTACACACTCTTTTAAACCTAGTAATAAAATATGTTCTCCTTTTGATGTTATTCATTCGGATGTGTGGGGCCCTTATCATGTTCCCTCTATGGGTGGTTATCGCTATTTTCTCCTATTTGTGGATGATTTCTCTCGATATTCCTGAATTTACCTGATGAAATCCCGCGATGAAGTACCATCCTTGGTGAGGCAATTCCACTAGATGATACTAACACAGTTTGGAACGAGAATAAAGATGTTTAGATCTGACAATGCTAGGGAATATTTTGAGAGACATCTTGCCTCATATCTGTTGGAGTATGGTGTTGTCCATCGGAGTAGTTGCTCCTACAACCCACAACAGAATGGAGTTGCAGAGAGGAAGAATAGACACATTGTTGAGATTGCAAGAAGCATGATGATCATAGCTACCATTCCGGTTCGTTTTTGGGGTGATGCAGTTCTCACGGTAGTATATCTGATTAACATGGTGTCTTCTCGTATACTTGGATTCAGCACTCCGTTCAGCCTTCTTTTTCCTCAGGGGGAGATGTTTCATATTCCTCTAAGGGTGTTTGGGTGTGTCTGCTTTGCGCATATCCTTGGTCCTTACCGTTTGAAGCTTGATCCCAAGGCAAAGGAATGTGTCTTCCTTGGATATGCAGAGAATCAGAAAGGGTACTGCTGCTATGATCCAGTCTCTGGGAACCGGTATGTTACTATGGACATTACATTTTTTGAGTCTACGTGCTTCTTCTCAAGTAATCCTTCTTAGGGGGAGTGTTTTGGGGAAGTAAGTCAGTAGTCTATCCCTCTCCCAGTTCCAGTCCCTGTGTCTACTCCTGTGCTTGACCACCACCCGATATCACTTACCTTGCCACCTCCTTTGCATTTCGTATCACAGCATTACTCACGGCAGAGACTTCATAAGGCGGTTGATTCCACTACAACAGAACTCACACCACTTCCTATCAATCCCTTGGAGACTCCAGATTCGGCTGATACGGATTCAGGTATTCCTCTTGATCCCACTACTATTTCAGTTCCCATTGGTCCTACTAACATTGTTACAGATAACCTTGATCTCCCTATTGCTCTTAGAAAAGGGAAGAGAAAGTGCACTGCTCATTGTATTTCACAGTACTTTTCCTACAGTGGACTTTCTCCTTCCTATCATGCTTTTCTCTCTTCTCTTGATTCAGTGTCTATACCTAAGGGTGTTAGTGAGACTCTCTCCAAACCCAAGTGGAAGACAGATATGCAGGAAGAGATGGAGGCTTTGATTAAGAATCAGAAATGAGAGATTGTGGACCTACCAGAAGGCAAGGAGACAGTTGAATGCAGATGGGTTTACACAGTAAAATATAAGGCAGATGGAAGTATAGAGAGGTACAAGGCAAGACTTGTTGCGGAATGGTACACACAGACCTATGGCATTGATTATCTAGAGACATTTGCGTCAGTTGCAAAGATGACCTCTGTTTGGATACTCCTTTCTCTTGCTGCCTCATACTCTTGACCTTTGTTTCAACTGAATGTGAAGAATGCTTTCCTAAATGGGGATATACAAAAAGAGGTGTATACGGATCTTGCAGCTGGATTTTATGATAATGCTGAAAAGGGAAAGGTATGCAAGCTGAAGAAGTCACTATATGGCTTGAAACAATCTCCTAGAGCATGGTTTGACAGATTCAGAAAGGCC